ATCATATAGTTATAAAGGGACATAACTCAAGAACGGTAAAAGTGACGCTACCCAAATTTGAACTTGATCTGAGTTTTGTGGTAATAAGCATTGTGTGTAAGTCTCATTACATTTGGTTGAGGCTAACTTAAGTAGAAAACAGAAACTAAAAATTCAGCAATTTTTCTATTTGTAAACACGCATAACTCTAGAACGGTTGTGTATAAGTTTTATAACATTTGGTTGAGACAAACTAAAGTAAGAGAAGGGAACCAAAAAATTCAGCAATTTTTGTGTTTATAAAGGGACATAACTCAAGAATGGTATAAGTGTCGCCACCAAATTTCGTACTCAATCTGTATTATGTAGTAATAAGCATTGTGTATAAGTTTCATAACATTTGGTTGAGGCAAACTAAAGTTAGAAAACAGAAACAAAAAATTTGTACTTGATCTTAGTTTTGTGGTAATGAATATTGTGTATAGGTTTCATAATGTTTGGTTGGGGCAAACTTAAGTAACAGAATGGAAACTAAAAATTTTGCAGTCTTTCGATTTATAAAGGGGCATAACTCAATAATGGTTAAAGTGACACTACCCAAATTCAACTTGATCTGTGTTTTATCAGTGGAAGTCAAAATTAAACATTGCATTGTATAAAGCATTGATTGTAGTTGATTCAACTATAATCATGGACAAGGGAAGATAACTCCAATTTAAAAATTACTTAATATTTAGAAGAAAATAAAAATTTTGCAATTTTTCCATTTTAAAGGGGCATAACTCTAGAACGGCTAAAGTGATGCCACCAAAATTCAAACTTGATCTGTGTTTTGTGGTAATAAGCACTGTGTATAATTTTCATAACATTTGGTTAAGGCAAACTAAAATTAGAGAACGGAAACGAAAAATTCAGCAATTTTTCCATTTGTAAAGGGGCATAACTCTAGAACTATAAAAGTGACGCCACCAAAAATCAAACTTGATCTGTGTTTTGTGGTAATAAGCATTGTGTACAAGTTTCATAAAATTTAGTTGTGGCAAACTAAAGTTAGAGAACGGAAACGAAAAATTCAGCAATTTTTCCATTTGTAAAGGGGCATAACTCTAGAACGGTATAAGTGACACCACCAAAATTCAAACTTGATCTGTGTTTTGTGGTAATAAGCATTGTGTATAAGTTTCATAACATTTGGTTGTGGCAAACTAAAGTTAAAGAACGGAAACTAAAAATTCAGCAATTTTTCCATTTGTAAAGGGGCATAACTCTAGAACGGTATAGTGACGCCACCAAAATTCAAACTTGAACTGTGTTTTGTGGTAATAAGCATTGTGTATAAGTTTCATAACATTTGGTTGAGGCAAACTAAAGTTAGAGAATGGAAACGATAAATTCAGCAATTTTTCTATTTGTAAACACGCATAACTCTAGAACGGTTGTGTATAAGTTTTATAACATTTGGTTGAGACAAACTAAAGTAAGAGAAGGGAACCAAAAAATTCAGCAATTTTTGTGTTTATAAAGGGACATAACTCAAGAATGGTATAAGTGTCGCCACCAAATTTCGTACTCAATCTGTATTATGTAGTAATAAGCATTGTGTATAAGTTTCATAACATTTGGTTGAGGCAAACTAAAGTTAGAAAACAGAAACAAAAAATTTGTACTTGATCTTAGTTTTGTGGTAATGAATATTGTGTATAGGTTTCATAATGTTTGGTTGGGGCAAACTTAAGTAACAGAATGGAAACTAAAAATTTTGCAGTCTTTCGATTTATAAAGGGGCATAACTCAATAATGGTTAAAGTGACACTACCCAAATTCAACTTGATCTGTGTTTTATCAGTGGAAGTCAAAATTAAACATTGCATTGTATAAAGCATTGATTGTAGTTGATTCAACTATAATCATGGACAAGGGAAGATAACTCCAATTTAAAAATTACTTAATATTTAGAAGAAAATAAAAATTTTGCAATTTTTCCATTTTAAAGGGGCATAACTCTAGAACGGCTAAAGTGACGCCACCAAAATTCAAACTTGATCTGTGTTTTGTGGTAATAGGCACTGTGTATAATTTTCATAACATTTGGTTAAGGCAAACTAAAATTAGAGAACGGAAACGAAAAATTCAGCATTTTTTCCATTTGTAAAGGGGCATAACTCTAGAACTATAAAAGTGACGCCACCAAAAATCAAACTTGATCTGTGTTTTGTGGTAATAAGCATTGTGTACAAGTTTCATAAAATTTAGTTGTGGCAAACTAAAGTTAGAGAACGGAAACGAAAAATTCAGCAATTTTTCCATTTGTAAAGGGGCATAACTCTAGAACGGTATAAGTGACACCACCAAAATTCAAACTTGATCTGTGTTTTGTGGTAATAAGCATTGTGTATAAGTTTCATAACATTTGGTTGTGGCAAACTAAAGTTAAAGAACGGAAACTAAAAATTCAGCAATTTTTCCATTTGTAAAGGGGCATAACTCTAGAACGGTATAGTGACGCCACCAAAATTCAAACTTGAACTGTGTTTTGTGGTAATAAGCATTGTGTATAAGTTTCATAACATTTGGTTGAGGCAAACTAAAGTTAGAGAATGGAAACGATAAATTCAGCAATTTTTCTATTTGTAAACACGCATAACTCTAGAACGGTTGTGTATAAGTTTTATAACATTTGGTTGAGACAAACTAAAGTAAGAGAAGGGAACCAAAAAATTCAGCAATTTTTGTGTTTATAAAGGGACATAACTCAAGAATGGTATAAGTGTCGCCACCAAATTTCGTACTCAATCTGTATTATGTAGTAATAAGCATTGTGTATAAGTTTCATAACATTTGGTTGAGGCAAACTAAAGTTAGAAAACAGAAACAAAAAATTTGTACTTGATCTTAGTTTTGTGGTAATGAATATTGTGTATAGGTTTCATAATGTTTGGTTGGGGCAAACTTAAGTAACAGAATGGAAACTAAAAATTTTGCAGTCTTTCGATTTATAAAGGGGCATAACTCAATAATGGTTAAAGTGACACTACCCAAATTCAACTTGATCTGTGTTTTATCAGTGGAAGTCAAAATTAAACATTGCATTGTATAAAGCATTGATTGTAGTTGATTCAACTATAATCATGGACAAGGGAAGATAACTCCAATTTAAAAATTACTTAATATTTAGAAGAAAATAAAAATTTTGCAATTTTTCCATTTTAAAGGGGCATAACTCTAGAACGGCTAAAGTGACGCCACCAAAATTCAAACTTGATCTGTGTTTTGTGGTAATAGGCACTGTGTATAATTTTCATAACATTTGGTTAAGGCAAACTAAAATTAGAGAACGGAAACGAAAAATTCAGCATTTTTTCCATTTGTAAAGGGGCATAACTCTAGAACGGTATAAGTGACACCACCAAAATTCATACTTGATCTGTGTTTTGTGGTAATAAGCATTGTGTATAAGTTTCATAACATTTGGTTGTGGCAAACTAAAGTTAGAGAACGGAAACTAAAAATTCAGCAATTTTTCCATTTGTAAAGGGGCATAACTCTAGAACGGTATAGTGACGCCACCAAAATTCAAACTTGATCTGCGTTTTGTGGTAATAAGCATTGTGTATAAGTTTCATAACATTTGGTTGAGGCAAACTAAAGTTTGAGAATGGAAATGATAAATTCAGCAATTTTTTCATTTGTAAAGGGGCATAACTCTAGAACGGCTAAAGTGACGCCACCAAAATTCAAACTTGATCTGTGTTTTGTGGTAATAAGCACTGTGTATAAGTTTCATAACATTTGGTTAAGGCAAACTAAAATTAGAGAACGGAAACGAAAAATTCAGCAATTTTTCCATTTGTAAAGGGGCATAACTCTAGAACTATAAAAGTCACGCCACCAAAATTCAAACTTGATCTGTGTTTTGTGGTAATAAGCATTGTGTACAAGTTCCATAAAATTTAGTTGTGGCAAACTAAAGTTAGAGAACGGAAATGAAAAATTCAGCAATTTTTCCATTTGTAAAGGGGCATAACTCTATAATGGTATAAGTGACACCACCAAAATTCAAACTTGATCTGTGTTTTGTGTTAATAAGCATTGTGTCTAAGTTTCATAACATTTGGTTGTGGCAAACTAAAGTTAGAGAACGGAAACGATAAATTCAGCAATTTTTCCATTTGTAAAGGGGCATAACTCTAGAACGGTATAAGTGACGCCACCAAAATTCAAATTTGATCTGTGTTTTGTGGTAATAAGCATTGTGTATAAGTTTCATAACATTTGGTTGAGGCAAACTAAAGTTAGAGAATGGAAACGATAAATTCAGCAATTTTTCCATTTGTAAAGGGGCATAACTCTAGAACGGTAAAAGTGACGCCACCAAAATTCAAACTTGATCTGTGTTTTGTTGTTATAAACATTGTGTATAAGTTTCATAGCATTTGGTTGAGGCAAACTAAAGTTAGAGAACGGAACCAATTTTGGGACGTACGTACGTACAGAGGGACAAGGGTAAAAATTAATGCCCCCTCAGCTACGGCGGGGGCATAAAAAGTGTGAAAAAGCTGATTTGCCGGACTGACGGATGGACAAAAGGACAGATGGACAGACAGACTGACGGACGGTCGTATGGAGTGCAAACCTAAAGTCCCCTTTGACTTCGTCGGTAGGGGACTAAAAATTAGAACATATAGAAGACCCCTTTCATCTATCTGACACAAAAAGTACACTGAAATTTGTTGTTTTCTGTCAGTCAAACAGAAAAATCAAGTCTATGATTGTTCAAATTGGTTGCTGATAATTTTCTTAACATTTTCTTGCTTGTTCTCATTATTAACATTAACTTACTGAATATTCCACAAAATTATATGCATGATGTGTTTTAATACAGAAGAAACAGTAAAACTAGATAAAGCTAAACTAACCTCTAGCATGTCTAGTGACAACCTTGTTTATTAAACATTATTTGATGTACCCACTTTAAGAAAAGGTTAATATCAGGATACATAAGATAATCTATATAAATATACCTATTAATCATCTGGCCAATCCTGGCACATTCATCTTTATCATAGAACCATATACCATATATTGCTAAAAACAAAAGGTATATATGCCTGGTTATAGTAATAAATATATACACACCTAAAAAAGGAAACCTTGTATTAGATGTTAAGGGCATACTATACAGAAAAGATCTCTCGTTGATTTTTTCTTTAAATTTTGACTCTCCCGAGTTTTGTATGCTTATCATTAGCAACGTTGCGAAAAAAAACATGTTACATTTGGATGCATTATTATCTGCCCTTGCTACTGTATCGTATGCCCTTATAGAAAGACAATGTAAACAGTTTGTACTCATATCTTCCACAATATTAAATAAACTGCTTCACTGAGCGCAGCTGGATACGACCACAGAGGTCCAACCCTGAACAGTTGGGGCAAAAATGGACACAATATTCAAGCTTGAAACAGGTCTGAATTTGGATTGTAATTAAATATTTGACATATTATAGGTTTCTGACACAGAATAAATGTAGTAGAAGAACTTGAAATTGGTTATATAATTTGAATTTATATTCAATTGAAGAATTCTTGCTGTTGTGCAATACACTGTGCTGTTGCGCAACACTTTATAGTAAATCTGTTTTCAGACTATATACAAAGAATTAGCAAAATAAACTGTGACCCCCAATTTTTTTTTTGGGAAAATTGATAATTTTTTAAATCTTGAGGAAAAAAATGTTACCCCCCCAAAATAACGGTTTGGGCAATTACCCCCAAAATGAATCCCAACCTTCTACTTGTGGTATTGAACCTTGTGGTACAATTTCAGAGCAATCAAAATACTTATACACAAGTTATTGTCCTGAAACTAGAAAAATGCTTGTTTTGGGCCCCTTTTGGGCCCCTAATTCCTAAACAGTTGGGACCATCACCCCCCAAAACAATCCCAACCTTCCTTTTGTAGTATTGAACCTTTTGCTTAAATTTCATAGAGATCCATACACTTAAACTAAAGTTATTGTTCGGAAACCAAATGTCTTCGGACTACGACGACGCCGCCGACGTGATAGCAATATACGAACGCAAATTTTTTGTGGTCGTATAAAAATGTGTTAAACATGACTTCACTATACAGAAATTGAGTATTGTTATATACTAGGGAAGGTGCAGTAAAACTCTGGTTCCTCACTATATCAGCTGTACTTAAACTTGAACTAAAGGGTCAGCTTATTTCAGCTACCTATTTAAAGTTGAACCTGGTTCTTCAATCAAAATGACTAAAGATGGAGGCTCTAAAGAGCCTGTGTGGCTCACCAATATAAATGTTCATCTTCATCAATGGCCAGTCTAAACATTGTAGAATAGTTATTAATCTCTGGACTTAATTCTTTTGTTTAAGAATCTTTTATTGCTGATAATTTTTTCAGTATGCAGTGGATCTCTATCTTCTACAGTATTTTCCCAAACCGTGAAAAAAAAGTGGTAAAAATTGTCATTCAAGGGCAATAACTCCTAAAAGTGGACTGACAAAAATTCTCCCCTTGATGATCTTTTTGTAGATTATGTCCTTCTGATCATTTTAGCTGTTTTTACAGTTTCTCTCCATCTTCTATAGTTTTTGCCCAATAATAAATAAAGGGTAAAAAACGTCATATAAGGGAAATAACTTCTTAAAGAAGTCTACTGACAATTCCGGCTATGTTCAACTAGTTTGTAGATCATGTCATATTAACTTCTTTTCACAGATTCTGTGGTTGCACCAAACTTTAATACCCACAAGATTAAAGAATACCTAGAAATATTACTAAAAAAGTTCTAATTATCTATCAGAATTTAGTATTTTTAACTACTTCACCAACTCTCTAATACTGAATTTGTTTTCTTGGAGGAAGGTTGGAATATAAAATGAATGAGTTTTAATTCCATGCACATGTTCTAGTACTCATATGTGACAATAGAATGTAATCAAATGGTCTAAAGATAGTTTTACTAAAGTAATCTGTGAAGCCAAACAATAGTTAATGTAATAACATGCTGTTATCCTAATGTAGAAATATTTTTGATAGGAGAAAAAAAAAGACAAAATACATAAGAAATTGATACTTTCTCCTTCTTTATCTATTACAATGTCAATACACTGCCAACAACTGACGTATGCTTCAGCAGTATTGGTATCTACAACAGGTATAAATGTGATTTGAAATAGTTTCACTTTCCAATCAATCAATGCTGTTAATTAAGGTACTTTGGCAGCCACATCAAATGTGTTGTTAATGACTGCTTAATAAAACTAAACATATAACTTTTTGTGCAGGAGTTGTCAATTATAATGTTATTATTTACTTTTGGTGAAAAACAAACAGCTTGTTATGTGGAAGAAATCTCTTTCAAATCATCGGCAAAAATTAGCTGCATACATTGAAGTATTTTACAGAGCATGTTGGAAAGAGATTACACCAAATGAGCGTCAGAGGATGAGGGAGTCATCCCAGTCTATATCAACAATCATCTGTGATCTATTTCTGTAATGATGAGCAAATCATGGAGCCCAGTCCAAAAACTTCCGAATAAACTATTTATACTCATTAGTAGACAATGTACTTTTAGGATGTCTTGTTTTAGTTTATGGTTCTTAGGACTAATTAAACCATCAAACAAGAAAAGATAACTTGAAAATGTATGTTCACTTGTAACTAGCTATAAACACTTTCTCTTGAATTATCTAGGACCATTAAAGCAAATGAATATCCTTTAAAATCAAAAACTCCAGGGTTCAATGAAATTGACATATGTCTTATTAATTATAAGATGGTCTTTACTACATAGTCATTAAAACTATGGCTTGTTTCTGAAATTTATTACTTCTATTCTATTAAGCAACTTGTAATCAAGTTATCCATTAAACTCTATCTAAAACCAAAGGCTGAAAAGAACTCTGCAGATTGAAACAATTTCTGCAGTCTATTAGCACCAGTAAAAACTCCAAACAAGCTTCTGTTTAAACTTTCCCCTAAAAGCAACTCAAAATTCATTGCATGGTACAACATTTGCCTTCGACTATGAACAATAATAAAAGCTATCATCACCTTCTGTTTTTTTTTAGTTTAGCATATAATCTTTAAAAAAACATTTATGAATATGGAAAACTAGTTTACTGTGAGCAGTGTACTTATGTAATACCTTTGATTCTGTGTATTTCATCTTTAATCTTATTTCTAGACTATCCTATTTTGAAACTAGAGGCTCTCAAGAGCCTGTGTCGCTCACCTGACTCTACTTTGGCTTTAGAAATCATGTAAAGATAGATAAAAATCATAACAGATACCCAAATAATAATGATTGAGGCCAAATTTGGATTAATATTGGTCCCGTTATTTAATAAAATATCCTGGTGGCCATCTTGAACAGTAAATCAGCAACAAAGTAGCAACACATGGTCAGAACCTCATAAGGAACATTCATGCCATGTTTGGTTTCATTCCATTCAGTGGTACTCTAAAAGAAGACATTTGTATGTATTTCCCATAGGGTCCTATGTTCAACTAAGCCCCCCCCCCCCCCCCTAGCAGCCATCTTGGATGATGGATCAGCTGCAAAGTAACAACACTTGGTCAGCACCTCATAAGGAACATTCATGCCATGTTTGGTTCCATTCCATTCAGTGGTTTTCTAAAAGAAGACATTTGTATGTATTTCCCATAGGGTCCTAGGTTAAACTAAGTCCCCCGCTGTCAGCCATCTTGGATGATGGACATACTGCAAAGTAACAACACTTGGTCAGCACCTCATAAGGAACATTCATGCCATGTTAAGTTTCATTCCATTCAGTGGTTCTCTAAAAGAAGACATTTGTATGTATTTCCCATAGGGTCCTATGTTAAACTAAGTCCCCCGCTGGCGGCCATCTTGGATGATGGATCGGCTACAAAGAAACAACACTTGGTCAACACCTCATAAGGAACATTCATGCCATGTTTGGTTCCATTCCATTCAGTGGTTCTCTAAAAGAAGACATTTTTATGTATTTCCCATAGGGTCCTATGTTAAACTAAGTCACCCACTGGCGGCCATCTTGGATGATGGATCAGCTGCAAAGTAACAACACTTGGTCAGTACCTTATAAGGAACATTCATGCCATGTTTTGTTTCATTCCATTCAGTGGTTCTCTTAAAGAAGACATTTGTATGTATTTCCCATAGGGTCCTATGTTAAACTAAGTCCCCTGCTGTCGGCCATCTTGGATGATGGACCGACTGCAAAGTAACAACATTTGGTCAGCACCTCATAAGGAACATTCATGCCATGTTTGGTTTCATTCCATTCAGTGGTTCTCTAAAAGAAGACATTTTTATGTATTTCCCATAGGGTCCTATGTTAAACTAAGTCCCCCACTAGCGGCCATCTTGGATGATGGATCGGCTACAAAGTAACAACACTTGGTCAGCATCTCATAAGGAACATTCATGCCATGTTTGGTTTCATTCCATTCAGTGGTTCTCTAAAAGAAGACATTTTTTATGTATTTCCCATAGGGTCCTATGTTAAACTAAGTCCCCCACTAGCGGCCATCTTGGATGATGGATCGGCTACAAAGTAACAACACTTGGTCAGCACCTCATAAGGAACATTCATACCATGTTTGCTTTCATTCCATTCAGTGGTTCTCTAAAAGAAGACATTTGTATGTATTTCCCATAGGGTCCTATGTTAAACTAAGTTCCCCGCTGGCGGCCATCTTGGATGATGGATCGGCTACAAAGTAACAACACATGGTCAGCACCTCATAAGGAACATTCATGCCATGTTTGGTTTCATTCCATTCAGTGGTTCTCTAAAAGAAGTCATTTGTATGCATTTCCCATAGGGTCCTATGTTAAACTAAGTTCCCCGCTGGCGGCCATCTTGGATAATGGATCGGCTACAAAGTAACAACACTTGGTCAGCACCTCATAAGAAACATTCATGCCATGTTTGGTTTCATTCCATTCAGTGGTTCTCTAGAAGAAGTTCAAAATGTAAAAAGTTTACGCCGACGACGGACGCCAAGTGATGAGAAAAGCTCACTTGGCCCTTCGGGCCAGGTGAGCTAAAAAGGGACCAGAGGGCCCACAAACTAGGCAACGTTTGGAGTGGAACATGTAAAAAGTCTGCATTAACCATAAATGTAGCTCCATAAGGAAGAGGCCTGGCACCCTTGGCCCCCTAAATCTGAGATTTTCAAAACCAAATTGACTGAAAATTGACCATACACCAGCATGGAAGTGTTTTCATGGAGTCCTGCTACATGTAGAACTAGTGACTACATACCCTAATCTAAAAGGATTGTTTCCCTTCAGAGTTTCTCTGATCATTTTGTTTTTCTGTATAACAATGAATCAAGTATTTCTGGGTTAGTCAATCATAAATACAACAAAATGTTTTTCATAAACTTTGTCTTGTTTCAGATTATTGTCAATTTCACTCTCTCAATAACAGGAAAAGGTCCAGTATATAATGTTAGGGTTTTGGAGAATTGTGGTCTGTTAGCTACATATTGCCTTAAGTGGATGTGGATAAGTACTAGGACAAAAATAAAATCAAAATTGTTTGATGTTGCCTACCTACCTAACTTAAAGGCAGCCTACCTGAAAAATTTTATGTGCTCTCACAAATAGTTTCAAATTTAAAAAAAAAAAAAAAAAAATTTTGTGCTCTAACGTGTTTTTCTTGTCTGAAACATGTAACTTATGTTGTTGGCCAAAAAAAATAAATAAAATCCCTACCTACCTACCCAACCTTACAAGGCATGGGTAGGTAACATCAAACAGGCCCAGCTGTAGATCACATACCTTTACTATTTCTATATAACACAAATGGATCCTGAAGTTGGAACTCTAGGTCTTTAGTGATTGGTTCTATCTGATTAGTCAATCCTAATCTATTTAAGATCATGAAACCATGAGTTGGAGAAGCTGACCTGAAAAGATAAAATAAAATATTTTCCTGAAATATAAATCAAACCTATAATTCCCAAATTAGTAAATTGTTAGCATGCGCCAAAAATTGTTAACCTACTGCTTATAATATCTGAGAAGTGGAAATACTCATGAAATTTAACATTGACTAATGATCGAACAATGAAAATGAGGTCAAAGTCAATTTAAACCTGCCAGACAGACATCTACACATTACAATCATTATTTACAACAAATATAGTTGACCTTCTGCTTATAGTATCGTAGAAAAAGACCTAGTTACGAACTATAACAGTCCTATTCCTTCTTAAGACTTAAATAATTGAGAAAAAAAATGGAATTCAAAAACCTTTACATTTTGTTGAATGGTCATTGAACCTTGAAAATGAGGTCTAAGACAACAGGAGGATGACTGTTTGTAGGTAATAATGTTTGGAGGATGATTATAGTCAGATATAGTACCAATGCAGTGTTTGAAATTAAGTGCAATATAAACAAAATCCTGGCACATTCCTTCTAGCTGGAAGCACTTACCAACATGTGAAAGAAGGAAATCTTATTTACATTTTCATCTTAAAGTACATACAAATCTTATCAACTTCTATAGCAATAAACAATTAAGTATCTATTGGGGAAAGTGTTGACAATTAACAACTTTCTTTTGTATGATTTCTTCAAGTTTTTTTTTCTCACTTGTTTGGTTAACCAGACTACAGTGTAGATCTACTATTAGTCAGTAATATATAAGGCAGCTGTACACACATATATACCAGTCAGGCAAAGTACAACACGTAAATCTATCATTGATCCACTGAAAAAAACAATTTCAGACTTTTTTTAATTAACATGAAATGATAAAAAAGGTTCTTGAGTTGATTGTGTCACTAAGAGCAGCTAATTTACAAAAGTGCAGCCTAAATGATCTTGGCGGCTAAAACACTATGGTAGGTGGTACAAAGCAATGTCATAAATCCAATCAATGGAGAATTGTTTTTCTGTGTACTTTGTTTTTACTACTGATAATGATGTAGGCCAAGGTCACCTGTTTCTTGAATTAATACTTATTGAACATGAAATTTAAAACAAGCAATATAAAGAACATTTAATCAAAGGTCAAGGTGACTAAATTTCATGTTTATTAGTTTGAGTTTAATAAAGGAAATGTTTGAATGTGATACTAACTACTGCAATGTAATGCAGCCATGTCATTTATAAAAATTCTGTTTATCTCTCTTTCAGAGGATAATTGTCTCATGAACAATTTTTATATAAATTTTAATTCAAAAGCAATTAAAGATTGGTAATTTCTCATAAACACTTAGCATTGTCTATAAATGACAAATTTTCTGTCCAAATTTCTAATAATAATTTTTCAATAGCTTGACTTGTGTTCATATTATGTGTGGAGCATAATTTGTTGGTTAATATATAATTTGGTAAGGGGCATAACTTGTTGGATTTATATATTGAAGATTACTTTATTCTATAGCGATGAAAATGAGTAACATCAATGAAAAAATTTATGATTTGAAAAACACTATAAATATTATTAAATACCTTAAATCAAGTCAATACCAAATCCCTCAAAAAAAGAAGAAAACATTCCTATATAATTCCTTTAAATTGAACTGATAATTTTCTTCCCCTTTTTCTTTTAATTATATTACCAATGTGGACAGTGAACATTACAGTTATAAACAGGCAGTGTCAATATTTGTTTTTGAAAATCCTAGATCTACAGTCTGTTAATCATATTGATAATAAGTTCGAAAATCCTAGATCTGGAGTCTGTTAATCATGTTTATACAAAGTTTGAAAATCCTAGATCTTGAGTCTGTTAATCATGTTGATATTAAGTTTGAAAATCCTAGACCTTGTGTCTGTTAATCATGTTTTTACAAAGTTTGAAAATCCTAGATCTGGAGTCTGTTAATCATGTTTATACAAAGTTTGAAAATCCTAGATCTTGAGTCTGTTAATCATGTTTATACAAAGTTTGAAAATCCTAGACCTTGTGTCTGTTAATCATGTTTTTACAAAGTTTGAAAATCCTAGATCTGGAGTCTGTTAATCATGTTTATACAAAGTTTGAAAATCCTAGATCTTGAGTCTGTTAATCATGTTGATATTAAGTTTGAAAATCCTAGACCTTGTGTCTGTTAATCATGTTTTTACAAAGTTTGAAAATCCTAGATCTGGAGTCTGTTAATCATGTTTATACAAAGTTTGAAAATCCTAGATCTTGAGTCTGTTAATCATGTTTATACAAAGTTTGAAAATCCTAGATCTTGAGTCTGTTAATCATGTTGATATTAAGTTTGAAAATCCTAGACCTTGTGTCTGTTAATCATGTTTTTACAAAGTTTGAAAATCCTAGATCTTGAGTCTGTTAATCATGTTTATACTAAGTTTGAAAAGAGTTACATATGACCTAGAGTTTCACATTTCTTAACCCTTTAGCAAGTATGCAAACTAATATAGAGAATTGAACCATCTGGTCATTTCAAATTCTTTTCAAAATATGTACCATCAGAACATTTTCATGTTAAGCCTATGTAAATGCTATATTTAGACTTTGTAAGACTCTCTTGTTCTTTATATATTTACTAACATATAATGCAGTAAACATGCATATAAAGGTTGTAGGGCTATTCCATGAAAGGGAATGTGGAAGAGTTTATATATAGGTAACAGAAGTTTCCTTTTTTGACATGGATTGGGTATTCTTGGTTAAATTTCATAATTTTTCAAAATTTCTTGAAGTCTGAAAGAAACAATACTTTTACTTTATTTATTTAAAGAGGGGGTTTCATGGGATTCCGAAGTCTCTTCCAACTCTCCAAAATCCATTTCAAGGGAATCATACCCTTAGAAAAATATATTGCTGAATGCATCATATTTCTGTAAACTGAAACAGCAATATGAGAAGAAGAATTAGAGGTTATTATGTTGTCTGACTGGAAAGCAATAGTGGATCTTCAGATATGGCTTATTTCAAAATGTTTTATCACATGTTATATAACTAGTTACCGTCCTAAGTAGTTATTAAATTAGGTTTACATAATTTATAAACATCCTTTGGGGGTTCAATAACATATTCTTTGGCGATCATTGTGATCATTCACTGCCAAACAAAAACCTGATGGTAAATGCACTATAAAATATTTATACTTGATTGTAAGCTGTGCCTAATGTACATTGATGAATTATAGCTGTTACATTATATCCTAAGGTAACATGCAAATCATTTAAATTATCTGCTACGCTTTTAATGAATGACACTAAAACAAAGTCCTAGCTATGTATTGTTCTTGAAACAGAAACGTTTAGAAAAGGGGCATAACTTTAAAATTAAATTATATTACTTTTAACCAAATCAATAATCTGCAGTAATTCAGCAAATAGCTAAATTTTCTAATATAACAATTTTAGTACATTGTATTTTCATTTTCAGCGAATAGAAAAAGAGTTTTTGTCTGCCTATGCATTTTTTTTGTAATTAATTACCTCGTATTGAAACAAAACGCTAATTTTGCATTAAAACATAAAAAGCTGAACATCTGTGTACCAATCAATGTTAATCATGCACAAACAAACTAAAGGAACTTCTGTCTTATAATTAACCTCACTACAGGCCAGGAAATATTCTCTTTTAACCTGAAAATGCTAAACTGAAACATATTACAATTCTACTTTTTATGATTCAAGAATGAAATAAAAGAACAAATTTTTGCACACAAACCCCCACCCTCCCCCCTTTTTTTACTCCTAACAATTGAAATATAGATCATCAAAAGCAGTAATTTGCAAAATTTTAATAAAAACATAAATTTTTGTTGTTGGCTTTTCATGTTTTCAAGATGCACAAGTCTATAACATTTAATTTTCTGCTTGCCATTCAATTGCATGTAGCTTTCATTGTGTAAATATATAAAATGATTTATAATGGTTTAACTCTTGTAGCCACTTTTGTAGTTTCATATGTTAATAAAATGCTCTGCTGGGCGCAGCTTGATACAACCACAGAGGTCGAACCCTGAACAGTTGGGGCAAGTATGGACAGTATGGACACAACATTCAAGCTTGATGCAGCACTGAATTTGGATTGTGATTAAATATTTGACACAGCATAGGTTTCTGACACAGAATGAATGTGGTCTAAGAACTTAAAAATTTTTAATTTACCTATTCAAACCATATCATTATTATTTGCTTTTATATATAAATCAGAAATAACCAATTTAAAATGGAATTTCAGAGAGATCCATACACATGAACACAAGTTATTGTCTGGAAACTAGAAAAATGCTTGTTTTTTGGCCCCAAATTCCTAAACATTAAGGGCAATTACCCCCAAACTCAAACCCAGCTTTTCCTTTGTGATATGGAACCTTGTAGTACAATTTCATAAAGATCCATACACTTACACACAAGTTATTGTCAAGAAACTAGAAAAATGCTTGTTTTTGCCCCTTTTTGGACCCTTATTCCTAAAATTTTGAGGCAATTACCCCAAAAATCAATCCCAGCCTTCCCTTTGTGGTATGGTACCTTGCAGTACAATTCCAAAGAGATCCATACACTTGAACACAAGTTATTGTCTGGAAACTAAAAAAATTCGTAAGGGTTCCGCGGAACCCAGTGTCTCGCCTACTTTTTGCTGTTAATCACAGGCTCAGCAAAAATGAGGAAAAAAATTAATAAAAATATTCCTCTCTATACTATCTTTTGATTGTAAGTAGCTTCTGTCCAAGTTTGGTAAAAATCCAGGATAGTTTATGAATCTAATAAATGTTTTAAAAACTTAAACTGCAGACTGTATGTAATGTTAACTGGAAGAAAAACTAAGTCCATTTATAAGTAAAATACGGAAAAAATGGAACAAAATTTCCTTCTAGATACTAGCTTTTAATCATAAACAAGCTTCTGTCTAAGTTTGGTTCAAATCCAGGATAGTTTAAGAAAGTTGTTAAAATTTTAAAAACTTTAACCACAGAGTGAA